ATGTGTCAATTAACTTGTGGCTGACCTTCCTTTGTTTTCAAAAGCAGGAATTCTCGCTGGAGGAAATTGCCCATCTTTCTTCCAAGAAGAAGCTGATGGATAAGAACCACGTACCTTTTAGTTGGCAGCACAACTCCTTACCGACTAGGCTACAGTGCTCCTTTCTGTATTTCAATTACCTAAGATATATTAAATGATCAATATACTTTCCTAAGTTACTCACTTTCTCCAGATAGCTTGTCTTAGAAAGTCTCAGAAAAACCCTATTCTAAAACTTCCATTTTTAGAATTTGGCTATAAATCAGATATTGATTTGACCTACCAGTGGCTTGAAAAAATATACATGATTAGGATATAATTCTAGGAATTTTAGTAATTAGGAACAGTATTTTCTAGTTACCCTTTTCTGGTGTTTGCAAAGTACTAAGATTTTTTTTTGCTAAGATTATAATGTATAGTTGTTTGTTTTCAGCTGACAGAGTAGTTAACTGTGCTTTATTGTTGTTGTTGTTGTATACTGTCGCGTTGAAACCGACCCATAACTGACCCTTCAGCAGTTTGCAGAGACCATAAGTTGCAAAGGAGGAGATGGCTTATCTTTCTCCTATGGAGCAGCTGGTGGATTTGAACCATGTACCTTCAGGGTAGCAGGGCAGTGCCTTATCACTAAGTCCCAGAGCTCCCTTAGCTGTGCGTCAGAGATGCCTTTTCCAGTGTGGTATGGCCGATGTGTGGCTTGAACACATTCCATTGCTAACCAGAAGACATGCAGAGGCCGTGGGTACTGTGAGCACAATGGAACATGGTGTGGTTCTGACACACGTTGGCGTTGCCGGGAGTACAGTCCATTCTCTGGTGATGCCCGAGAACCCCCATGGTTCTGTGAGCCCCAGGAGGCTGGCCTGTCCCCGCTGGGCTGCCCTGTGTTGTGCTTGTGTGGTTTTGTACTTCACGGGAGGACCACTGCCTGCAGCCTGCTCACGTGCTTTCCTCCCCCTGAGGTGCTCGTGTGCACGCCTTGCTGCTGTTACATGGTGCCATTGAGCCCAAAGGACATGCTGCTTAATTAAAGGTGGTGCCCGATATTTGTTCTGTTGGCATTCTCGTCGATGGGCCAGCCACACTTGTGGGTTGCATAGGGTTTAATTTCCAAGGAATTAAAAGGTCTGATTATTGCTGTTACAAGAAATGCATAATTGAGTAAAAGATAAGTGTCTTCTGAGAAGGCCTGTGATGGATGTCTGAGGCACCATTGTGCTGTCCTGCTCAGAGAGCAGCCTGAAAATGAGCTCACGGAACTAAATCAGCTCTTTTATTAATAACAAATGGTAGTGGGATGAGTTTACTTGCGACAGTCAGTCCTGGGTTTTGCTAAATTAACTTTGGAGTATTACTAAAAATAAAAAAAGACGGAGAAAGGGAAGGGGGCGTGTAGAGGAAAGGACTCCCTGCGACAGTGACAGGTATGACAGGGTAGGGCCAGCCGAGGCTGTTCACTGGGGCTCTCAGTCTGTCATTAACGACTGCTCGTGTTTTCTGTGTTACAGCTAATAGCCCATATTTGAAAGTGAAAAAAAAAATCTTGACCCACTAGCTACTTCCTTGTTATTTTCCTTTGTGATCTGATGCCAAATTCTTAAAATATTTTCTATGACCACACTTTTTCTTTTTTGAAAAGGTAATACTTCCCTATCATATAAAAATGGTTTTAAAAAGTTGTGTGATAGAAAACAAGGTGCCTTTCTCCCCTGATTCCTCATGTGCCAAGCTCTGTGAATACACGCCTGTGAGGAACCACTGTTGTTAATGCCTCCCATTGCTCAGCGTTTGGGCGTGCATAAGTCACACGCTTGACTCTAGACCTCAGATCTCCACACTGTGTGGGAGGCTTCCTCATGTCTCGTGACCCCCACTTTGTGTTCACTGTTGGTACCTGTGCTGAAGACCCTTTATCAGACTGTTCCTCCTCTCTGGCTTTGTCATTCTAGGGCTCTGCCTCATCGCCCCCACGCCTTAGTGCTGGAACTTGCCCTGCTACTGTGCACGGAAGGATAGAATTGTAGAAACAGGAACAGGATTGATTAGAACCGTGCAAGCCCCTTTCAGGTCAGTGGAAGAATGAAGGCTCTGGCATCCACAAACCATAATCACCTTGACGTGTTTGTTCCATTGTCTCCCTCTTCCGAAAACAAAATGCCAACATCGTGGACAGGGCGTTTGGACTCTCTTGATCTGCACAGTACCTCGAAGATGTTGGTTTAAATGCTTATAACCACTGAGAGGTCATGAATATACCACTCTCTTTCTTCCTGCTCAGTTAGATTTCCTATTCCTTTCCTGAACATTGAACTCTGAGCACCCTTCTGGAATCCTTGCATTGAATTTATCCTCTGAGTGTCTGCGTAGCCCCAGGAGAACTCCACCACCTGGAAAATATCAGCTCCATTACCCTCAGAATGTGAGCCACCCTCAAAATTACAAGTGCTGTATTTGTATAGATGACGCTAGGACCTTCAGTTTTTGTAACATGTTCATGACTTTTGAAAGTACTTCTAAAATGACTTACGTGTGCTACGTGTTAACCTTTGTAGCATGGTTGCCAACTATTTTATGCATGAAGAAGGTTGAGTTCAGAAGGATCACAGAATTACAGACATTGGCTAATCAAAGTCGAGCCCTAAAATAGAGGTCTCTGCATTCTGCGCTGCCCTGGGACTTCACTCTCAGATGTAGAAATGTGAGCTTTATCCTTATCCGAACCACTGGCGCAAGCTGAGTCCAGCTCTCCGCAGTCTGCCCTCAGGTGTCGCAGTCTGTAAATCTTCACAGGAAGAGACCACCCGTCTTTCTTCTGTGGAGCAACTGATGGATTCAAACCACTGACCTTTAGTTAGCCAGCACATCGCCCTACCAGAGCTCCGTATCCACCTGCTCACTCACTCATTGCCATCGGGTCGGAACCGTGCTGCCAACTGAGCTCCAGCAGGTTTTCTGAGGCTATAAATTAAATGAGAGAAGATTGCCCATCTTTCTCCCACAGGGCAGCTCTTGGGTTCAGAAGGTCAGAGAAGCCCCAGTGTGAGATCAGCAGTGCGGCTGCCTGTGAGCTACACCACCAGGAGTTCCTAGCATGGGGTGGGGGTGTACCTTCAAGTCAGAACCAAATCAGGCTGACAGTTCAGCACTTTGAGAGGCAGCAAATCACAAGAGAAGAGACTGTTGATCTCTTTTCCACAGAGCGGCTGGTGGATTCAAACTCATGTACCTTTGTGTGTATAGCACAGTTCCTTACCACTCAGCCACCAGAACGTCCTTACAGAAGCATTGTTGTTGTGTGTTATCTAGTCTGAAGTGATCCATAGCTTGACCCTCCAGTGGATTTTCAGAGGCAGTAAGTCGCACAGGAGGAGACTGCCTATCCTTCTCCCGTGGAGCAGCTGGGGAATTCAAACCACCTGCTTTTGGGATTGCAGTACAGGTTCCTACCACTGAACCACTAGACCTCCCTACATAATTATCATTATTGTTGTTGTCTTGTGCCATCGAGTCATCTGCACCGCATAGCAACCTTATGCACAAGTAGCTCGGAACCCTGCCCTGTCTGTGTCAGTCTCACTGTCTCTGACAAACCTCCCCTCATTACGCCTGTCATTGTGTCAGTCTGTCTCATCCAAGGTCTTCCTCTCCTGTGCTCCCTCCACCTTTCCAAGTATAATGTCTTTCTCCAAGGACTAGTCCCTCCTGGCAACAAGCCCAAAATACGTAAGACAGAGCTTCAAAATCCTTGCCTCCAAGGAGCATCCTGGTTTCATCCTCTCTAGGACAGACCTATTTGTTCTCTTGGCAGTCCATGGTATGTATGTATGTTCATTATTCTTCCCCAGCACCACAACTCAAAAACATCAAGTCTTCTCTTGTCATCCTTAGTCATGTTTGACCCTCTGATGTGGAGCAAGCCGGTGTGAAAACCGTGGCCTGACATTGTTGCTCTTTAGCACTCTGGAGATATCCCTGATGGCAAATTTTCCTAATCACTAGGAGACCTGAATTGTACCCTGGGTTTTTACTCTTGATGTTCTGTTTGCTCCACCAGTGTTTTTTATCATCTGGAAAATAAGACATTTGGACGAGGGATCAGAAGTCCTATCTCACTAGCTAGTTAAGGCTTGGAGTATGAATGTAGGGAGTTGCTTACAATGCAAGGCCTGTCTTCCAGTTTCTCTGTGCTTCCTAGAGCCAGGCCTGGTGAGAGATACAAAGGATCCTACAGTGAACTGATGAGTTGGAACTTGGTGCCAAGTCACATTTTATTTAGAGCACAGTTGGGTGTTTCTGCTCAAACGATACATTTTGTTGTTTTAATAAACATACTTTTTTCCTCTTAAGTTTCATTTTTGTTCGTGATTTTTAAATGACTGTAGATAGTTGATTTGTTTTAAACTATTTACTCTTCATTGAACCTTTAGGTGTAACCCAATAAGATACAAGTTGGCTCATTTTTTAAAGTCTATGACCATTGTAGCTCTTTTATGTAATATCTTTGTAGTACTGTTGGGGTTTTAATTGTAGCCAAAAAACTGTTTTTATGTTGTATTGCAGTTATGACATAACAGTGATAGTAAAGAAATGTGACTTTTCTCTTTCCATATTCATATGACTATTTATGTACATTTAATATTTTAAACACATGTTCTAAATTGAGATCTGATTTTTACATTGGATATGCTCTGTATAAAGGTGGCTTTCATAGTTTATGTATAAAATTTCTTTTCCTAGAAAGCTAATACTTTATTGGATAATTTAGCAACTAGCAAAAAGGACCATTTTATTTTGCAATTTAAGCATAATTTGTTAGCAAGGAATATAAAAAATTAAATACTATCTCTTTCAATTGTTTTTTTAAAAATCCAATTTGGACTATATATGACAATTATTTCCAGAAATTCATTAAAAATATTTTATGCAAAATATTTCAATTTCCTTTTCTCTTCTTGTTGCAGGAGCTAGAGTTAATGCCAAAGACAGCAAATGGTTGACACCTTTACACAGAGCAGTTGCGTCTTGTAGTGAGGTATGAAATTTTCCTTAGTAATGTATTGTATATAAAACATCAACTAACCAGGCTGGGGATGAGTTCATATTAAAATTCTTATTTTCCAAAGAGGAACAGAACTACTGGAAAGACTTAAACGGATTTTTTTTCCCTTCAAAATTTACAGAAGTCACAATACTGTTCATTTCACCTTGCAACTGAGTGAGTGGCTTTAAAGTACTGGAAGTAGCAGAGAGTAGAACACCCTCTTCTCACCCTTCCTGGGATAGCAAAGTCATTTTTCTGTTTTACAAAATAGAGCTGCTTCCCTACTGGTTCATAACAGCCTAATGGACTTGTTACAAGGCTCTGTGGATTCCAATTAAGAAATCTCAGCCATGGAATATGACTAACTGAAATAGTACTGTTTAGTTCAATACTGGCCTTAGTTTCAGAACATTACTTGGTTGCATATTTTAGCAATGTTATCTGTGTAAACATAAATAAAGCGTGGTAGAAGAGGAAGAACAGTCTTCCTTACCTATGTTCCTCTCTAGTGTTTATTTATTCTTCGATGAATGGAAATTTTTTGTGAACCTTGTGTAAGGATTTTACATATTTTCAAATCCTCATGACATCTTTCTCTAGCATCTTTACACGATCGGTATTTTCATTATCATTTTATCACATGGACAAGAAAATGATGCAGTTAAAATTTGATGTAGTTAAAATTGGACAGAAACTGCTCCACTGTCAAGAGGCAGTCTTTGGACAAAAACCCACACCTTCTCCTATCTGTAATCTTACTGCCTTCCTAAATGGTATGTGTTCTTGCTAAAAGTGTGTTGTTCCTAAGGCGCTCCCTTTGCTTAAAATACTTGGTCCTTGTGGTAAAATTATTAAAATACAGAGTATGTGTATATGAGAGAGAGCATTAATTTAGTCTGGTGTTACTTATAGTGTTCCCATGCTCTGTTTGGACAATAGCTTCTTGGTCTTTGTATAGTTTTCACATGAGCACAATTAAGTGATTTTGAATTCCCATTCTTAATGTTAGCTACTATTTGTTGTGATCCACGCATTCAAATGCCTTTGCACAATAAAGCACAAATAAGCATCCTTCCGGCATTCTCTGCTTTCAGCCACGATGTATCTGACATCAGCATTGATATCTCTGGTACCACAGCCTCTTCTAAATCTGGCTTGAATTTCTAGCACTTCTCCGATGATGTTCTAGCCAATTTTTAGTAATGTTCAGCAAGATTTTATTTGCATGTGATATTAGTGATTTAAAAAAAAAATATCCACGTTATGTTGAATTGCTACTGCATGGTTTAAAATCAAGAAGAGTGTGTGTCAGGGCTGTATCCTTTCTCCATGCCTATTTAGTTTGTATGCTGAGTAAATTATTTGAGAAGCTGCATTTTATGAATAATGTTAAAGGAAGAATCAAAGAAAAACTCAACAACCTGCATTGTGTAGATAATACAACCTTGCTTGGTGAAAATGAGAACTTGAAGCACAGCTTTCCGTGTGGATTGTGTCTCAACATCATGAAAAGAAAAAATCTTCGCCACTGGGCCAGTCTTAGGTTAGATGATGAAAAGATTGAAGTTGTCAATTATTTAATCTGGCTTGAATCTACAGTCAGCCTCCTTGATACCAGCAGTCAAGAAATCAAAAGATGGGTTATAATGGAAAAATGGGGTATCAAGGACCTTTTTGAAGTATTAAGGAGCAGTGGTATCAGACTAAGGTAGACCTCATCCAGGCCATGATTTTTTTGCTCTTTTCAACTATCTTCTTTGCATTTGAAAGGTTGACAGTGACTAAGAATGACAGAATTGATGCCTTTGAATTGTGGTGTTGGAGAAGGATACTGAATATCGTGGACAGCCAAAACACCACGCAAGTCTGTCTTGGAGAAAGCGCAGCCAGGGTCCTCCTTACAGACAATGATGACCGAAGTGTCTCACTGGTTATGTTATTAGGAGTGGCAGTGCTTAGAGAAATCACGCAGGGAAGGGTGCAGGGTCAGCACAAAACAGGAAGATCCTCAACAAAACGGACTGACACAGTGACAGTGGGTTCTTGGGTATCAGAGAAGATGACATAGCATAGGACAAGGGTCACTGTAAGGTGCACTCTACTCAGCAGCACCTAACAAAAACAAGTGTGGTGATAAGGTTGGGAAGGGAAAGAACAGCACTTGGTGTAGCTTCTCCTTTCTCTCCATGATGCGACCAGGCACCTCAGGAGCAGGGAGGACACTCTCACAAGGATCCCCAAGAAAACTGAAGGAGCTCCTACCCTGCTCCTTTTTTTAAGTTAATCTTCTGTGTGGCTCTTGAACCCCAGGACAGGCCGAGTGAAGAGAAGTAGCGGTAGAAGGAAGGGGAAGCCCCTTGCCGTGTCCTCACAGCTATGAGCGGTGTAACAGATCCTGCAGTGGGACCACAGCCAGCCTGCGCCTGTCACAGTCCCCGCTGGGCGCTGCTTGGTACGTGGATTGAGAGAAACTGGCTTCCCCCAGAATCATCTGCTGCTTTCTAGCCGTCTGATCTCAGACAAGTCAGAGTTATCATAGAAACGAAACTTACAGCCAGAGTAACTGAAACTCTGAAATCTGTGGAATTGTTAACCTTGTCGTTACTTTCTGCAGAGACTTTGTTAATCAAGAAAAACAGTTAAGATAAATGTTACCATCGAGACCTATCAGTATGTCAGTCATACGTACCCATCTTTACCAGTATTCTGCTTGGGACACTTTTTGTACTTGAAAACATTGTAAAACAGAACAAAAATTTTTTTCAAGAAAGTAATGAGGAAGATAGCAAGTTTCTTGGCTTTTTTTTTTTTAATTTATAAAAAAAACCAAAACAAAAACAACCACCACGTCGTACTCAGTGTGAGGTGAGGTGAGCAGTACAGTGATCTTACTAGTGGTGGGTGAAGTTCTGAGTCTGCTCTCCCCCTGGATTACCACAGCCTAATAGTACCTGTGTTCTTTTCTGGAGGTACTGTAAACCACTGCCAGCCATGGCCATGGGGTCGGGACAGTGACACAGCTGTGGACCCTGAGACGTTTTCTTTCAGGAACATCCCATACTAAGCAAGAATGTGGAAAACCTTCTCAAATAACAGTTTTGTTCCCATTATATCTTGATAACAAAAAGGAGATAATCTTAGGTTAAAACACTGTAGCTTGGCCCCAGAACATTTTATAACATGAGCTTATAACAAGGAGCTTTATTCTTCTGATTTATATGTTTAAAATAGCCTGATGGAAATAGAAAAGACTATTTCTGTTGTTAATCCGCTGACCCTCCCACAAGTTTTCGGAAGCTTAAATAGCATGGAAAGACTGCTGGTCTTTTTCCCTCTCAGCAGCTGGTGGGATTGATCCGTGTTCCTTTAGGTTGGCCGTACAGTTGCCCACCAGGCCGCCAGAGCTCTCTAAAGTAACTGATTTCTCACTTCTACATAGCTGACAACACTGTGGATGCATGTGGGCGAAGCTAATCCGTCACACACATGCACTCCTTCGAGCTTCCTGTTCTCACTGAAGTTGGTTGGCAAGGACCGCTTCCTGTTCAGGCGCCCTGTGATGTCATTTCATACACTCTGGCTGGGTACCTCCCTCCGGCACTCCCACTTTGAGTGGTGACTGTCGCTTTTTCTACATCCAGCTCTCTTCAAGTGCTGAGAATTCTGAGGCGTCAATCCCTTTGTGAGCAGAGAACATTTTTTGTTTGCTTTATTTGGTTTATTGGTTTGGGGATTTGAACAGTTTGTGATTGGGATTTTGGTTTTGGTTTTTTCTTTTTTAGAGATGTGTCACAGTGTGGATTCTCTCTTGAGAGTTATGGTGCATGCAATTTTTTTTGTTTTGTTTAAAATCAGAAATTATATTTTAGGTTTTAGATATCTGTGTTTAGATTGTATTACTGTATAAGATACACTCTTTGACAGTTATTTAACCTTTTGTTAGAATCTTACTAAATTAGACACGGTGTTACTGAGCTGTTATTTTGCCATCGAGGCAGCATTTCTTGCACATACCCTCTGATTATGAGAAAACGGAATCAAGGTTATTAGGGGGAAATCCTCATTTGAGAGAAGCGTTTCTCCTTGTTTATCCCTGCTTTATTTTCTGAATTCTTTTGATTAGCCACACAGCACACTAGGGACTCTCCTAGACCTTTTATTTTCTAAATCTTATAATGACTGATAATGTTCTCTAATTTTACTATCATATTGGAGTTTTTTTCCTTTTTGTTTCCTAGAAATTAGCAGTGTCTGCAGCCTTTGGTATTTTCTCTAAATTGCCCAAGATGGTGCCAGGGGTTTCAGAACCCTTGAAACTTGGCTTTTCTATCTACATTAGCCCCCTCCGGGGGAGGGCATGGTCTCCCAGCTACCTTAACTACAGGCACATGGTCTTGCAAATCATCAATAGCTGTGAGGCCAGTATAAGAGAGCTTTCAGCACTGTTACTAAGCTGACCAGAGCCGGGTCTAGTTGAAGAATTGTGCTTTGGAACTTGGGCTGTAACTTGGACTTGTGTTGTTTTGCTTCCTCTACTCTCCAGCTTCCTGCCCTAATAAACCCCATTGTTTGGTACCCTAACTTTTGAATCAGCAATGAATAAATGAACCTTTTACTGCTGCTGTGGCCAAGGGGCACCATTGGACTGGGCTGCGGGCTCTTTATCTGCATTCAGCTCTAGGGCAGTGATGGGCTGTGCTATTCTCACTCCCTCTGACCATTTCACAGGGACCTTCACTTGCCTCCTACCGTTTAAAGCTCTGTAGACACATGCTTACTAATATTTTCCAATATATTTTTTATCCTCTCTCTCTTCCCCACCCCCATAATGTGAGGGTTGCTGGGATTGGTGGTGAACTCAGGGGTTAGAGTACTGAGTATCCCATGAGCTGCCAAAAGAACAGAGATGTCTTGGAGAACACACAGCCAGAGTGCTCCTTGGAGGCAAAGATGGTAAAGGTTCAGCTCACAAAGTGGGAGCGTGGTGCTAGGAGAGTTCCTTGGAGAGGGACAGAAAGGAGAGGGAAAGGTAAGAGGTGGTGCAAAAGAAGAAGGCCTCCAACCAGATGAATTGGCAAAGTGCAGCCATGAGCTTGAGTCTGTCAGAGATAACGAGGATGGCACAGGATAGACGGAGTTCAGAGCTGTTGTTCATAGGGTCCCTGTGAGTCATACTTGACTGAGCGGCACCTAACAAAAACAATACTACCCCAACCACAACCTCACCCCCACCAGTAATGCCCTTTCTAGGTCTAGGAGACTCAGAGCAGGGAGAGATACCAATAGTAGTTCTCCTCTCCCTAGCTGTTAGTGCATACCCCTCTGTGTGTCTCCACCTTAGGTTTGTAAGTAAAGTATAAGTTACAGTAAAGATGAACAGTCTTCTATGCCATCTACAACCTTGAAAACCTGCTAGAATGTCGGCAGTCAATTCTGACTCACAGGCAGGCGTCCGTTGTTTTGTGTTTTTTTTTTTTTTTTTTTTCGGATTTTACACACACACACGCCCCACGCCAGCCCCGTGTACTCTTTCTTGTGATCCACGTACACATTCCCGCTGTCTCAGGAACAGTCGGTTTTGTGTATACTTGGGACAGTCCTCTCTACCTGTGGAGGCGGATTCCTCTGACTGTAGGGTGATTGTTCATGTTCTGCAACAGTCAGACAGCGTGTGCTTCTGCGTGTCGATCCCTTTTTCAGTCCTAATGTGGTGAAATTCATTCCTCTTGCAGCTTCAGTGCTCCCTTCTTTTATTTTTGTATTACCCTGTGGTATTCCTCTCTTGAATGACAGCGCTTTTTCTGTCCATTCTCCTCTAGATGGTCATGTTTGTATGTTGGGTTCTTAGGCTGCAGAGGCTTTCCCTATTTTCAGAGACCTCTGGTGGCCTGTTGGTAAGGCGCTGGACTGCCAGTCCAAAGGCACACAATTCAAATCCACAAGCTGCTGCACAGGGGGAGGATGGGCAGTCAGCTCCTGTGCACTTTGCTGCCTCTGAAACCCGCTGGAGGGTGAATCTGGCCTTTTCCCAGCTGGGCTGTAGTGTGGCTTTGCGTGTTAGTGGCTGGGCTCCTTGCTGCCTTGGAGCCTGAGGAGTCACACTCCGGGGTCTTTTTGTTACTGTTACGTTGTGACTCCTCCTGGGAACACTTGGTTTTGGTCTCCATGGTTTTCTGAGCATTTCACAGTCTCCTGGCCAAGGCTGACTTGTACGTGGAAGCAAGGCTTGAGTTCTGTGCAATTTGGTGTGAGTCCAGTTTCCTTTGTGTTGTGGAATTCTCCATATGCTTTAGGAAGACGAACTGCTTTGGAGGGAAATGCTCACATTGCCTGGTGCTGCCGTGATAGTCGGCTAGATGACGTCATGGCCAAACTCTACCTTGTCTCTTCTGAATGAGCTAGACTCTAGTGGTGTTTTAAATGAATTTTTTTTAAATTGAATTATTATAATTTTACTTTTTAATTTAATTTTTTGATATGTCTCATTCGGAAAAACAGTAAGAGGCGAATGTTTACATTTTGATAGAAATTGAACTTTAAATGGGTAGTTTAGGAAGAGAATGTTTTATTAGTTCAAGATACATTTTCTTAGATGAAGTACTGCTTGTTTCTAAAGTGGGTATTTGCTCTCTCTGTATTATTTGGAATCGTACCATGTGTCATTACCTCAAGGAACTGTGTTCTGTTCATTTGTGTATATGTATCTGGTAGCGGCCTGGGTGAAGCCCTGGGCCGGTTGCAAACAGGTCGGTGGCTTCAGCTCACTAGTCCCCTGGGGGAGGCACAGGCAGCATGCTTCCATGGTGGTGATGTCCCTGGAGACCTTGGGTGCACTCAGGCTCTGTCCTCTGGGCCCAGAGGGAGTTGGAGTTGCTGTGTGGGTGTTGGATTCTTGTGGGGTTTTGTGGGTTTGTGTATTTTAAATCTCGTAGATAGACAGGTGACGCCAGGGCCACTGCTGTCCAGCCAGGTTTCTCTGGAGGCAGCCCTGCGTCAGGTTTCGGCAGCTCTGAGTCTTTCCTGGTAGAAACTGCTAGTCTTGCTCTGTGGAACAGCCGGTTAGCTCTGCCTGCCATCTGACCCACTGTGCCACCAGGGCTCCTTCAAGTCAGTGGATACGTGGGGCATTCCTAAACCTTAAGTCACTTGTTTTTTATGACTTTTACCTTGATGTCTTTTTCAGGAAGCAGTTCAGATACTTTTGAAGCATTCGGCAGATGTTAATGCCCGAGACAAAAATTGGCAAACCCCTTTGCACATTGCTGCTGCCAATAAAGCCGTCAAGTGCGCTGAAGCTTTGGTCCCTCTTCTGAGTAACGTCAACGTGTCTGACCGTGCGGGGAGAACTGCGTTACACCATGCGGCTTTCAGCGGGCACGGCGAGGTAGGTGCTGCTCGCTGCTGGCCCCCACACGCCCTCTTGCATTCCCAACGAGCCTAATCTTCAAGCCTTTCCCAGCACTTGGAACAAGCCGGTAACAATGTCTGTCTCTCTCATTTGTCCTCCGTTTTAGCAAATGCTTGAACTTGTTCCGATGATTGAGTATAGTTTATCAAATTGAGAACTGTGTTTAGCAGCTGCTGTTCCCATATTGCACTACATAATCAGGCTGGAGAGCACGTGGGTCTTTGAGAAACACATGGAAAGAGTGTGTGCGGCCTTCATTGTCAGAGGAACGAGGGACCCAGAAGTTGTCACCACTGAAAAATATGTCATTTTCTCACAGCTGAGACTGAAACTTAGGTGTAGGCAGAGAACATAGGGACACCCCGACCCCCAACCCCCCCAAAGCACAGAGTTAGACAAGCCCACGAGGCCAGCTTTTCCCAGTCTGACGTTTTTTATAGACCCAGAAGCACAGATGTATAAAGATGTTCCTGGGAGCTGGTGGCCTCCGTGTGCTTTCCACGGCCAACATAGGTGGAGAACGCTGGACTCAACTGTAGTCAGCTCTCAAGGCAGGGGCCCCTTGACCACCCAGGCTGCCCCTTACCTTGGGGAGCTCTAGTGGGCAGGGTTCAGGAGGCAGAAATACTCCTCTGGCTACTTTGTGGGTAAGAAGATGGTGTGTGGCCTTCCTGTTGAAGCCTGTTGTGGATAGCAGGCGTAGGCTCCAATAATGAGCATTTAAGATACTTCTGGGAATAGAACATACTTTCTAATTTGATAACAATTTGTATTATTAGTAGAAGTAAAGTTTGTTAAATGACCTGCCCGTTTTGGACTCCACGGGTTTGTATGTAGTTATTCCTCAACGAGGAAGGCTGGTGCGCCGTGATTGAGCGCTTGGTTCCTAATGGGAAGGTGGGCCCTTGAATCTTTCCTGGAAGATAAGGTGCCAGTCGGCTTCGGTAAAGGTCGTGGTGTCAGGAACCGTCCGAGGCAGGTCTGGGAGTGCTGGTGAGGGTGGCTATGAGTGTGACATGTGGCACAGCAACAGGACACCGTGTGAGGGCCGGCTCCACGGAGCCCCACAGGAACCTCTCCCCTCTGGTCATGCTCTTACTGGATAAATGCTGTGACACATCTTTTTTAGACTATTTTATGTAGAATGTGATTTCTAAGTCCTGCTTTACTACAAATGGGAAAACTCAGTCACTGATGATTGAAACAAGTGCTCATCACAGTGGAGACTCGGGATCTGTTCTGCTACTGAATTTTAATGAAACTCTTGTTTCCTTTCATTCCAGATGGTCCAGTTACTCTTGTCTAGAGGTGCCAATATTAATGCTTTTGACAAGAAAGATAGACGTGCTATCCACTGGGCAGCTTACATGGGTATGTGCTCCCACTCACGTTTTCTGTGTTGCGTGCCGGGAACCTGCGTTTGCGTCTTGTCTGTTGGGCGCATGCGGCGGATCCGTGCTGTGTCTGAGCTCGCCCGCCTCAGCTCGCTGCCTGAGTGGGCCCAGCCTGGTCGAGAAGATACCCTTGAGTCTGGTTCATCTCAAAGCTGCTTGAGAGAAACTTTATTTCTCGAATGTGAAAGGTGCCCGAGTCTCAAAATGTAGGATTATGTTCACCAGAAAGCCCATTCTCATGCCCATCTCTATTTTTATTAAAATATTAAGCTTGAAACTGTGAAGACGCTTGCTGAAGTCTGTTCTTTTGGCCCAAGCACGGGATTACGTGTGCATCATACAGCAGTGATTCTACAGAAAGAAAGTAAAGTTCGAGTGCCGACGTGACTGCTTTCATGTGATACGTGGGTTCTGGACAATTTCTGTGCTCTGAAAAGTTACACTGTAAAGATAATAGATTTAGGTGGAAAATGGACCAGAGCAGACAACCTCAAACATACACAGCTTTGTTACCAGAGTTACTGGCAGACTGTTCATTGGTTCTTGAGGTTACTCAGACAACTAGGAAAGTGGGTGAGCCTCTCTAGGTGTGTTGTAAAATGCACAGAAGTGGAAGAATAGGGACTGGCTTGTGGGCACCACAACCACGCAGCCAGAAGCCAATCCTCATGTCCTGTCTGGCTGGAGTTCTGTGTCTGTGAGAGGAAGCAGTGGACGCAGTTTCTTCTTCATTTCTCCCTTTGCAACAGTGGAGTTGGGAAGGCTTTTCCTATTCTTGCCAGAGATTGTAGTTGAGCTTCTGCTGTTCTGCCTCTTGGCGTAGGAAGATTTATGTTTAACCTGATGGATCTTCTGTGTCCAGTAAGTGGTGGTCTCTGCCTGTCCCTGGAGTTTAACTCGTCGCCTGCCTTCAGACCTCACCTGTCCTCCCTCTCTCGGGGTCTCGACTTGCCCATTTCTAACTTTGAATAAAATATAATGAGTTAATAGAAAAACTATTCATTTTAAAATCCCAGGTAGATAGGTGCAAGAAAGAAAGCACATGAACTGAAAGCAGTCGCCTGCGGTAGAAATGACACCAGTGCATAGATTCCACCTGGGACTCCAGGCCTCACTGTGCTGTGAAGAACGGCTGGCAGGGAGCGTCCTCAGGTCAACCTCTTGGCCTTACGTCTCCGTCTGAAAGCCAAGTGTCCAGGCCTTCAGTGGTGGCACGTGTGTGCTTATATCATTCATGCTGGAAAAATAATTCAGAGTCATCTTGGAGGAGTCCTGAGGCCCTGGCTCACACAGCCACCTTCATTTGTCCACCTTCATGTCTTGGGGATGTTTTTGACTATCTGTTGTCAGTGGTTCAAGGCTGTTTAGGAACAGTTAGTCAGTGGTTTGTAACTACTCAGTTTCTATTAGAGAGTGCCTGTTTCAGCCTCTACCGTCAAAGCACTAGACTGGACTGGCCAGCGCTGTTTGCAGATTAAGTTGTGAGCTCTAAGGATTCCCTCTGGTTTAGTCTGCAGGACAGCAGATAATTGTGCCGGGGACGTTCAGTGTTGTCACTTTGCAGGCACTCAATTATCCAACTAGTCTTTGTGTACAAACATTTGTAGTTTTGTGTTCCCTATCTCTGATTCTCTTCAATAAGAATGTTGTCACTTAGTTTTAAGTAGAGCTGAGCCCGTGATATCTGGGCACTCTTGACTGGTCACTGTGGAGCTCTCTTACACTTCATAGGGAATCACACCGCTCACCCAAAGATGGCACCTCTGCTGGTTCAAATCCACTGCCTGCTTTGTGGGACAAAGATGGGCTGTCTCCTCCTGTGCAATTTACAGCCTCTGAAAGCCCACTGAAGGGTCAGCCCCAGGTCAGCTCTGATGAGCTTTGCATTTTTTATTTTATTTATTTTTTTTTTTTAGTAACTGGTCACTGGTCTCCCAAATAACCCCGAGGTCCAGGAGACTCACAGACTCCATGAATACTAATGAAGAGACCTTAGTGATTGCATGTGGTCATTTGTCCTTCCCTCCCCACAACCTTCTGCAGTGGGCCCGGCCACCTCTGCCCTAATAGAAGCTCGATTTCATTTTCTGATGGGTCCCCCCTTTCATCTTCCTGTTCTGTTAGGTTCTCTGGTGAAGTTCTCCAGTCCCGCCTCTGTCCTCAAATGAATTCCTGTCTTTTCCCTCCTGTGGTCTCTCCATCCTCATCAGGACCCCTTTATACACGGTGTTCTCAGGAGCTTTTGGACACTCACCTTTTGTCATTACTGAGCCAGGTTTTATGTTTTATTCAAAAGTATTTTACTGGGATGATTTGACAGAGATACTGGAATAAAATTCTCTCAATCACGTAACACATTTTTTGTGAAGTAATAATAGATAAGGTTAAATGGCTGTATAATTGTGGGATTTCCCCTCCATTCCTTTCCATGAAGACTTGAACTTTGTAAATTCTAGGATTACTCATTTCTTACATACTCAGGAACAAAATAAAAACGTAGGAACACGGTTTTGTTTTCAGTGACTCATTCTTCGAGCATAAAGACTATATTAAGTTAATTATGTGTGTAGACATAATTCTTTTTAAAGACGGCTGACATTGATTATTGAATTGTGTGTGCCTTGCTGGGCCTTGCCTGCCGATGGCTGCCATCCTCTAAAACTGGACCTAACTGACACAAATGAAATCTAGTCCCACCATGGCATCCTTCTATATATTGACAAGGAAAATTCACTGTACCTCACTAGATCAGTATCATTTCTCTCCCTCGAGCTTTCCCTTTTTTCTTTAAAAAAGACAACCACAAATTGAGTAAACGCTTTCTTTGTGTCCTCAGTGGTTCACTAAAGGAATTTACCAAGGCTTCTGAAATATGCCTAAATAAGTATCTTGGCAGTTATAAGACTGTAAATTTGACCACAAAGAGACCTTGTCAAGAATTATAATGAAAGGGAGCAGAGTGGGCAGGGAGAATAGTGCAACAGTGAATGAATGGAAACCCTAGGTCTCTGTAAACTTTCATTAAAATTAATTTTTAAAAAAGAATTATAATTAAACCTCATTAAAATTAATTTAAAAAAGAATTATAACAAAAGGCAGTTTTAAGTATTTTTTAATTGTGATTTTATTGAAAGTTTACAGAAAGGGTGTGTTTTGATGCACATTTTTCCTCCGTCCCCCAGTTCACTTTGTAATCCATGTCTTGCTCCCAGTTGCCTGTACGCAGGGTCCAGTCATCCACTCCGTTCATAGTCCCTCCCTTCACCCATCCCAGTATAGTGTTCCTTCTGTCCATTCTTTCCCTGCTGTCCCCTCCCCCACATCTTAGCAGTATTGGTCCTTTTGTGACTGAGATAATTTCATTCAGCATTAGGTATTCCATGTTATGTAGTGCTTACAAGTCCATTGTTCGTTCAGTGCTGTGTGATATTCCATTGTGTGAATATACCACAGTTTTCTGTGTATTTGTTTGTTGATGGGCACTTGAGTTGCTTCCGTCTCTTTGCTGTTGCTGCCTACTGCTGCAGTAAACATGGGTGTGCATGCCTGTGTTGGAGCTGTGGCTCTGGTTTCTGTAGGGTATATTCCCAGTGGTGGGAATGCTGGGTCAGACGGTATTTCTGTTCTCTACGGACTGCGCCCCCAGAGCTCCCCTGGACCGTCACTGTCCTGGCGCAGCATCAAGACTCCCACTCGTGAAGATGCTGTGAACAGCAGGCCTCAGCCTTGTCCCTGTCCTACGCCAGCCTCACAGTGCCCACTGTGCTCCAGCCCTCTCGTCGAGGAGCTTCCTCTCTCGCTGACCCTCACCTTGCCCAGCAGGACGTCTTTTTCCAAAGATTAGCCCCTCCTGACCATAAGCCCAAATACGTAAGGCAGTTCTCCATCCTTGCCTCTAAGAAGCACCCAGTGCTTAGACAGGGTCAGACTGACTTGTGCTTCTGTCAGTCCGTGGGGCATTCCGTTCTCTTCCAGCATAGAACAGAGCAATAAGAAGCGGGGCTGGCCATGCATTGTTTACACCGCACGCCTTTCCCCTACGCCACCAGAACTCCCTACTTACATTGTTGTTGTTAGGTGCTGTCGAGTTGAGTCCCACTCCTGGCCGCTCTGTGAACAGCAGACCTGTGCCCTGTCCAATCTGTATGTCCCCCTCGTCTCTGGCACCCTTGAGCACACTGCCATACTCACTGTCACCCATCCTGCTGGGTCACACTTAATTTGACACCACTGACGTGACAGGTCCCCTTTTGGGTTTAGTGTCCGCTTTCATTGACATTTTATACACAAGCAGCTAAATCCACATTAGGTTGTGAACGGTTTCAAATCATTGGAACAGATAGTTGCTGGGCGTCTTTGTACAGCACTTCCCTCTGCTCTGCCAAGAAGCAGAGCATCAAGTCTTTGGATGTCTAACATCTTCCGGGAGTTAGTACATGAAGAGCAAGAGTTGGTGAATTTATGATCATTTTTAAGTAGTGTTGCAAGGCCTTAGAGAATTGTTAGTGGGGAGTTGGTGCTCAGGGAATACAGGGCGTCCAGGGAAGAGTGACCAGTGTGGTCCAGGAAATTGGGATCTGACCATGAGTCTTGGAGGCTTAGTAGCAATGGTGTGGAAGAAACATCCAAGAATAACATTCCACGTGTGGAAGAAATCCCTAAAGTTAGGGGAGTAGAGCTGGAAAGGGTTAGGGGGAGGAGAGGCACCAAAATCTAATCTGATGAAAGTGAGGCCTTAGAGAACAGTGGGTGCTCCACTTGGAGATACATGCCCCTTCCTTGGACTTCCTAGGTTGACTTGACCTTGAGATTAGTTCTGAGCAGTAAATGGAAAGCTGCATTGTTCCTGAGCCAGATACTGTACAGTCTGCATCCAGTGACAGCCGATCCCACCCAGGAGGGTGGCATTGCTTGAGGCTGGATCCTTGAAAGACTGCACAGAGGAACCCTGGTGCTGAGTGAGAAACCAGCTGTCAGTGTGGAAGGCAGGGCAGTGTACGAGTTTCCTGTTGGCCTCACGCAGCTGTGCAGCCCTGCCCATCTTCAAGTGACGTGGGTAGGTCGCTCGTAGTTCGAGAGGATGATCTGAGAGAAACGAGGTTGTGAGAACCATGTTCACTGCAGCTCAGCAGACAGCATACACAGGGAGCTAACCTCAGTCCCAAGTCATTCCAGGTTTTCAAATAGAAAATGGTAAAAACAAACATATTGTTAGCATAAGTTTATTGTTTTTAATCTTTCTGGCAATATCATGTCTTTTGTCTGCTTGCCCCTTGCTTTGTTGTCTTTAGAACTATAGCTGAAAATACTTTCTCACTTCTTCACTTTGGCAGGATTTGTTGTTGTTGTGTTGTATAATGTCAAGTCAGGACCAACCCATAGCTGAACCTTGGGTGGGAGGAGATTACCCATCCTTCTTCCCTCAGAGCAACTGGTAGATTTGAACTGCATGCCTTCTGGATTGCAGCACAGCTTCTTGCCACTAGGCCATCAGAGCTCATACTTCATAATTTGTTTTTAGTAACAATCCTGAAAAGAACAAAAAGATCTAGGCAGAGGGGGTTATCTTGGTGAATTCCTGTCTTAGATGAGCTCTCGTGACATAGTCCACAGAGAGCATTGTTGCTCCCAAAAGCTGCGCGCCTCTGGGAGCACTTCAGAGCCACCAGTGGCTTCCTGAGAGGAAGATGGGCAGTCTCCTCATGCGATTTACAGCCTCCAAAAACCTTCTGGATGGTCAACTGTGGGTCCACTCTGACTTGGAACAGTACCTTCGGTTTTATCATGCCCTGTGAAATTATTCTGTGGATTTACTTTCGAGATACAGACTGTTGTATAATATTTCCCGTACCTTCTCTCTCTTTCTTAATAATGGCATTTCCAGGTCACATTGAAGTAGTGAAGTTACTCGTGGCGCATGGAGCTGAAGTGGCATGCAAGGACAAGAAGTCTTACACCCCCCTGCACGCGGCAGCCTCAAGCGGAATGATCAGCGTGGTCAAGTACCTTCTCGACCTGGGAGTCGATGTAGGTATTAGGATACTGGTGATCAGAGTGATTTCAGGTCAAAGATGGTTTTACACACCAATATCTTTGTCTTTTGTGTGTTTAATCAAGGCAATTAATGAGTTAAAATGCCTTTTAATGGTAAATGATGAATTGGCAAGTTTTTCTTCATTTAATTCCGTCCTTGGACCTCTGTTCCCGCTCTAGGACCAGCACTATCAGACACACTTAGATTATTTTCCCTGGATGTCTAGATTATTGTTGTCTTGTTTGCCTGATAAGCCTAGTATTTAAGTAGAAAGCAGTTCACGTTACTGGCTGTTGGCAAGGCCCTCAGGGTGATTGTCTGGTTAGGAATAGATACAGTTATTGTAGTATGTTTGATTCCTGACTGGAGATAGCAAGCCTGCTGCCTGCTGCTGGACAGGTCATCCTCTGTTCCCATGCTGCCAAACAGCTTTACTCTTGGTATAGAATTTTCGTTTTCATTGTAACTCTGTCAGTCTCAGCTAGTTCTTCAAAGTAGATTCAAAACAGCAAATTGGAGAGGGAGTAGAGTTCTGCTTGAAGGAGTTAGTTTGAAGTCAGCTGTTACGGCGGGTGGGGGGGAACTTTTCAAAAAAGTTTTCTTTTGGACCACTTTAATTCTCTTTTAGAAAATGTCTACATGAGTGAGTGCTTGGTTTTGCTCATGGAACGAAATGCAAAGAGGATTTTTCACCTTTATGTGTATTTTTTTAAAATGAGAAGTGTTCACTGTTTGCCATTATAGAGGAAGCATGCTAGAATGGCCACTCTTCATTGGGCCACTTTGGGCTTTTGAAAGGTTTTCCTAGGAACGCACACAGACACTCTTCCCCACTCTCTTCCCCTCTCCCTCTCTTTGTTCCCCTGCTCCTCCTCTCTCCCTCTCCCTCTCTCTAGCTCTACCTGCCATAGATCTAAGGAAAGGGAATGAGGTGCCCGTGTCTCCGCTGGCTGCTTCACTCTCATTCCAGTGCAGGACTTGATAGACAGCAGTGTAACGTTTATAAGCTTTTAGGGATAGACTGTACTTCTAAATAAGTAATCCGATTTAGAGCCATTTCATAATGATGTAGTTTATTAGTTTCTTGGGGCTGTTGGGCAGAGGACCACAAATTGAGTGGATTGGATTGATAGGGCCCCCGTGGCTCTGGCGGCTAGCAGTCTGAAATGGTAGCTTGTCAGTTCTCATCCTGTGGAGGTTCTGAGGTTCCATGTCTCTCTGGCGGCTTCACCTTGGTGTGCACAGCTTGTGATCTGGGACTCTCTCTCCTGCCTCCCTCTTTATATGATATCTCCCTCTGTGTGTGTGTGTGTACGCGTGCGTGTGCATCCAAATTCCCTTCTTAGAAGGATACTATTAATTGGACTTACACTCATAAATCACTATTTCATCTTCACTTGATTATATCGGCAAAGAACTTACTTTCAAATAGGTTACTTTCACAGGGTCCAGGTGGGCTGGACTTTTTGGAAGACACTATCAACCTAGTACTTAGATTTTAATTTTGCTACTTTTTTTTCTCCCCTCTCTTCTGCCCTGGGCCACCATTAGCCTGGGGAGCACTTTGTACCAGTAGCCTGCCTTAGTTTTTTTAGATGGATTCTTAGAAATGAAGAATTATAGATTACAGAAAGGTGGGACGAATATGGTGTAATCTAAACAGTAATGAAGTGTAGGTACTTTAAGTAAAGTTAACTGTTAACTTTTCTACTTTCTTTAATTTGTTTTACCAGGGATCTTAGAAAAGAAAATAGTAACTAATTACGATAACATGAAGCCCAGTAGTGCACCATAAGGACACCTCACAGCACCACCCTCACTCTACCAACAGTGGCAGGTTGATAGAATTCGCCAGCAGCCTTGGGTTCTTGATAGACCAACAGAATTTGGTGAAAGCTGTTATATTAAAAATTACAGTTCTTTACCAGGATAAGATACAGACTAAGGTCCATAAAGATGAGTCTGGGAAAGGGACAAGCTAGGTTCCAAGGAAAGCTTCTCTTACCACCTTCCAGAGTATGAAGACACACTTCTCTCCTCACGTCACTGCCTGACAGTACATGTGCTGGTGGCCGTGGAAGCTCTTACCTTACGCTTCGGTGCCTCCGTTGTTACTGGGACTCCGTTATGTAGACTTGATTGACCGATAATTGATTGCCCGTGTGATTGAGTTCAGTCTCCAAGTCTCTCTACTGAGTCACCCAAAGTCTCACCGTAAACACCTTCTATGTGGCATCGATTACCTCCCAGAAGTTATGGGCCAAGGCCGGACTTCTCTTTAAACTCATCGCTGTCAGATGGGATCGTGCTTGTCCATCAGATGTCCAAGGCTGTAAATTGCAACAGGTGGAAACTGCCCATCATCTCCCTTGGATTCCAACCACAATTCAAACTGGCCTATGGCCCAGGCTCGCTGGACTTCTGTGTGTTTAGGTACTGTCGAGTTGACCGTGACCCTGTGGCCAGCAGATCTGTGCCCTGCTCTGTGCTGCCCTCATCATCTACAGTATACTGAAGACTTCCTTTACGGAAAGCCAGATTTTTCACTGCGCAAGTCTTGGGCACTTTTAAAGTGTTCCCCCAAGTTTTTTAATAGAAACAGAAAAACTCTTGAATGCTTGAATTCTCATTCTTGAGCACATGCGTTTCTCTTTAGTAAAGTGTCAACACGCAAGACTAGAATACCTAGAGCTCAAGTGTGTAGCAAAAATGAATTCTGTAAGTGGAGGAAAATGCTACTTGTTTCTTAAAATCCTGATGTCTGTGTAATGTGAAAAGGCTGAAAATCCTACAACCTGAAGACAATAAAATAGATGAATGGAACCTTCTAAGAATTAAATCCCTATGCACATAAAAAAAAATTCTCCAGCAGGGTAGAAATGAAAAACACAAAGCGGGGAAAAATATTTGGTAATGACCTGATAGGGTCTCATATTTAAAATTTGTAGAATACTCAAGCACCCCAACAAGAAAAAGGTAAACAAACCATTTGCAAAATGGGCACAGAATATGAATAGACACTTTACCAAAGAAGACATTCAGATAGCATCCGAACACATTAAGAAAGGTGCAAAACCCGTAGCTCTCAAAGAGATGCAAATAAAAACAACTATGAGGTATCATCTCACCCCAGTAACAATAATAGAATAAGCAGAGCAGCAAACAACAGATGCAGGTGAGGTTGTGGAGAGACTGGAACCTTTTTATTCACTATGGCAGGAATGTAAAATCGTGCAACCACTATGAAAGGCAGTCTGGTGCTTTCTCCAAAAGTTGGAAATAGAAATACCATTTGACCCAGCAATTCCCCTAAAGAAACCAGAGCTACCACCCAAGCAGATATATATATATATACACACACACCATGTTTATTGCACCATTATTCACAATAGCAAAGAGATGGAAGCAACACAAGTGCCCATCAACGAATGAATAGAAAAACTATGGTACCTTCACCCAATGGAATACTACAGAGCACTAAAAAACAAGGAACTCATAAAATATTATATAACATGGGGGTCCCTGCCTGGAGGACATTATGCTGAGTAAAATATCTCAGTCACAAAAGGACAAATACTGCACAAGACCACTATTATAAAAGAAGAGTGACTTGGGGGCTGGGGAGAAATAAAAGAACTATTTAAAAGGAATATACAGGTGGGCATTATTTGTATGACAGCAAGAGAGGTGGATAGCAAAGTGGACTGGAGAAGGGGGAAATTAGGCAACAGTGAATGCATATTTTCTATAAAAGTGAACTGAGAGGCTAGGGAGGGAAATGTGCACCACTGAATGAATGAAAATCCAACTTTTGTAAAGGTAAGTTAAAAATCACAATGGGGAAAAAAAAGAAAAGGCTGAAAATATGCCTGCTATTGAGTATTACCTGAACAGGTAGACCATGAAGGAGAGGAGACCTTCATTGAGGTGAGGGGTCAGCACAGTGGCTGCAGCAGACGGCTAACGCGGTGGAGAGTAGGGATGGCGTAGGGTCCAGCAAGGATTTGTTGGGCGTGGAGTTGCTGTGAGCCCTCCACAGCGGGCGGCACCTGATGACGAGGCCCACATTAAATACGGCCTTGAGTTTGCAACGTGTGTTCATTTGACTTTACTGTGACACTATTTTCATTTTCTTTTTCCTATAATATCTCTTGGAATAATTGCCTTGTGCCCTGAGCTAGTCGTTGTGAATCATATTGTCTGAATGTACAGAATCTGTTTGACCATAACATGCTTGTTATTAAAATGGTCACTATTTTCAAAGAACACTGAGGTTTTCAGGATTTCAAATACCATGTGTATCATTTTCCCTCTTTGATAATTTGCATGCATCTGCAGAGTTGGTAAAAGCTTTTCCCACGGTGACAGTGAGCAAGACTAATGTTTCCTTGTTTTCTGCCAATAGATGAATGAACCCAATGCCTATGGAAACACACCACTCCACGTGGCCTGCTACAACGGGCAGGACGTGGTGGTGAACGAGCTCATAGACTCTGGTGCGAATGTCAATCAGAAGAACGAGAAAGGATTTACTCCTTTGCACTTTGCTGCTGCTTCAACACATGGAGCTTTGTGTTTAGAGCTGCTGGTTGGTAATGGGGCCGATGTCAATACGAAGGTAGGCAAGAGGGTTAGAACTGTTCTTTACGTGTTTACAGGTTCTTCTTAAACGCTTCTTTTATTTCATTGGTTGCACATTGGCTGAGGACGATAGTAACTGAGACCTGTTTGAAAGTCTGAGTCCCCAGAGGATTTGGCTTTTAGAAACCACCCCTTCAGGGCTTTTTTTCTATAGAAGGGGACTGATAAATTACCTGACCACAGTTAGGCAGACTGGATACATGAAGACTTCCTTTAGCAAACTTAAGATGTGGGCAGTTAAGTAGATTTGAAGGCAACAGCCTGTCATATTGATTTAAAATGGATTTTTAATCTTACCTAAATTGTATGCCTGGCATTCCCTTTGTATTGTTATGTGCCGTTGAGTCGCTTGTGACTCATAGTGACCCTGTATACAGGATCCCTAAACCCGGCTGTATCCTGTGCCAACCTCATTGTCTCTGACACACCTACCCGCATTACCCTAATCACTGAATCGATCATCTCATCGAGGGTCTTCCTCTCTTGCATTGTCCCTCCACCCTCCCAGACATGACGTCTCTCTCCAAGGACTGGTCCCTCCTTGCAACATGTCCAAAGTGTGTCAGACAAAGCTTCAGAATCCTTGCCTCCAAGGAGCAGCTCGGTTTTGCCCTCTCTGGGACAAACCTGTTTGTTCTCCTAGCAGTCCGTGGTATATTCAATATATATTCAACACTCTTCTCCAGCACCACAGCTCAAAGGCATCCGTTCTCTTTCTATCCTCCCCTAGTCACTGTCTAGCTCTCTGACTCATAGCAGTCAGGAGCTCCTTAGTCTCCAGGCTGATGTCGTTGGTCTTCAGTTCTCTGGACAGGCCCCTGACAGCTGACTTTCCAATGCAATTCATCTCTTGATTTCCTGGCTGCTGGTCCTAAGAGTGCTGATTGTGGAGTCAAGTAAACTAAAATTGTTAACACTCTCAATCTCTCCACCATCCATAATGATGCTGTCCACGGGCCCAAATTGTTCAAATATATTACTGCCAGGTTCTGTTGGAACACATTTCTCATGTCCCTGACTTTCATTTCTACATTTTTCTATTGATGGTCTTATAAAGTAATAGAATGAATGGGGTTTACAGGCATTATGGGACTCTGGTGGCCTAGTGTTAAGAAGCTGCACTACAATCTCAAAAGAACGTGGTTCAAATCAGGAGAAGGATGGCCAGTCTCCTCTCATTCACTTTACTGCCCTGAAAACCCACCGGAGGGTCAGTTCTGGGTCGGTTCCAGCTCTGCGGCACACAGCAGTACGTCATGTGACTGGTGTCTGTAATCTCTGCCGTGAACCTACAGCATCAGGTTCCCAGCTGCTCACCATTCACTCCTCTTCAGTCTCCACTGTTCATCCCATCCCGTCCCATTCTTCTGTGGGAATAAATTTTCTCCATATGTTGATATCTATAGCACATTTTGGTTTGTTTTTGTTTACCTAATGAAACTAGAGTCTTAGAAATGTAGTAAATATGTTTTTTAGTAAAGATCCCTAATTTTGGGTAATTTTTAAAGCTCTCCATTGTTTTCTCAATTTGGAAAGAGAGAACTCCCAACAGGACTTGGGTGGACTTCTCGCATGGTAATCTGTATTGCTCCTCCTTTTGTATATTTTGATATCTTACATGTCTGGGGAGCTCTGGAGGCCTAGTGGCAAGAAGCTGAGTTGCAGTCTTGAAGGTGCGTCCTTTGAATCCACCAGCTGCTCCATGGGAGAAGGATAGGCAGTCTCCTCCCATGTGATTAACAGCCTCAGAACCCGCCGAGGGTCAGGTGTTGGGTCAGTTCTGACTTGACGGGACACAACAGCAACATCAACATATCTGTCACTCTTGACTCACTCGTTGGTGTTGAGTCAGAGTCGACTCAGCTGACCTTGGGTTTTGAGGCTACAGATTGCGCAGGGGAAGATATTGTCATTTTCCTCAGAGCCTCTGATAGATCTAGACTGCCGCACAGCTCCTTTCAGACTGCGCCACCAGAGCTGTGGCCGTACAATGTACAAATGCCGACCTTGTCCTGCTCGCTGATGGGCGTGGTGGTGCTAAGTGCCGTGGAGTCAAGTCCAACCCATGGAGAGAATAGCATCTTTGAACCTTGCCCTGTGCTGTGCCATCGTGACCGTCTGACACTGGGAAGCCCACCATCACAGTCACTGTGCGAATCCATCTCGCTGAAGGGCTTCCTCTCCTTCACTGACCCTTCACCTGTCTAAACATGATGTCCTTTTCCACGGACAGGCCCCCTCCTAACAGCTTGCCCAAAGTATGTGATACCAGATTTCACCATTCTTGCCTCCAAGGAGCATACACTGGCTGTACCTTTTCCAGGACTTGTTTGTTTGGTTTTTGGTAGTCCATGGAGTGTTCAGCCCTCTCCTCCAGTGCTTAATCAAACTTTCAGCTTTATAGCAAGTAACTGAAAAGATTATTATGGTCTGGGTTAGGTGCACTTTAGTTTTCAAACTGACATCATTGCTTTTCAGCTCTTTGGAGAGATCCCTGACAGCAGGCTTCCCCAGTGAGATACATTGTAAATTCTACTATGTAAACCTAGTTCAATTTTTTACATAGATTATATGTTTTTGTCATTGTTGTTAGGTGCCACTGAGTCATAGACAACTCATACCCTATGAACGAAAGGCCTGAGCACTTCCGTACATAGAGTTTCCGGCGGCAAGCCATTTCAGAAGTGGATGCCGCTCCTGCTTCCAGATAGATTATGTAGTGGAACAAAATCCATTGCCATGGAATTTATTCTAACTCACAGTGACCCTTCAGCCTGTAAATCTTAACTGGAGGAAAGTGCCCATCTTTGTCTTAGAGACCAACACATTCCCTCCCCACCTGGGCCTCTGTAGTAGAGGACTGATAAATTACCAACTCCAGGACCTGGTTTTCTCAACAAGCTGGATTGACAGTTATGACGGGGACTGTAACAGTGAACTCAGGTGTGTCAGAAACACGGAGGAGACCCCTTGTCCACAAAGTCACTGAGTCAGCTCGAAGACACATAACAGCAGGGTTATTGTGAGGATTAAATGATGGAGAGTGTAACAGGTTTTTATACATTTTTCCACTTACTTCATCTCAAAGTTTCATTACAGATTAGTAATTTAAAAATGTCTATAGTTGAAAGAATAACATAAAAACATTATATCATGTTGGGACATTCTGAACAGGCACGCGTGCTCAGAATCACATTAGTTCAGTGATCCGCGAGCTTTTGTTTTGTTCTTTCTGATTAAAGGAAAATAACTGGCACATGTACTTAAAAACAGAAATATGAATAATCGTGTCACATTTCGGGTTTGAGTACGCACACAGGCTCGCGCAGGGTTGTTGAGGGCTAGGAATCTCTGCAGAGCAGTCGCTGCTTCTGTGTGATTGTTTACTGGACTCGAGATCTCTCGTGCGCTCGCTCTCGCTCTCTCTCTCTCTCTCTCTCTCTCGTGCATGCACACACGCACTCTGGCTCTCTCACTCTGGCTCACTTTCGTTCTCTCACCTTGCTCTCTCTTCTAATGCGGTTGCTGGGGCTGGTGGTCCACGGGGCTCTTTTATTCTTTGGAGGCCATGAGAACCATCAGGTCGACCACCTGGTTGCTATAACCAAATTCATTGTCATACCAGGAAATGAGTTTGCCAAAGTGGTCATTCAGGGCAATGCCAGCCCCTGCATCAAACGTGGAAGAGTTGGGTGTCAGTAGTAAAGTCACAAGAGACAACCTGGTCTTCAGTGTATCCCAAGATACCCTTGAGGGGACCTTCTGATGCCTGCTTTAATACTTTCTTGATGTCATTATATTTGGCAGCTTTCTCCAGACTGCAGGTCAGATCCACAGCTGACACATTGCCGGTGGGGGCAGGAAAGCCATGCCGGTAAATTTCCCTTTCAGTTCAGGGATGACCTTGCCCATGGCCTTAGCAGGCATGATGTTCTGGGCAGCTCCATGGCCATCACACCACAGCTTTCCAGAGGGCACGTCCAGTCTTCTGGGTGGCATTGATCGCATGGGCTGTGGTCATGAGTCCCTCTGCAATGCCGAAGTTGTCATGGATGACCTTAGCCAGGGCACCAAGCATTGGTGGTGCAGGAGGCATTGCTGACAATCTTGAGAGAGTTGTCATACTTTTCATGGTTCACGCCCATCACAAACATGGGGGCATCAGCAGAAGGAGCAGAGATGATTACCTGTTTGACACCACCCTTCAAGTGAGCCCCAACCTTCTCCAAGGTTGTGAAGACACCAGTGGACTCCACAACATACTCAGCACCAGCATCATCCCACTTGATGTTGGCGGGATCTCGCTCCTGGAAGATAGTGATGGCTTTCCCATTGATGACCGGCTTCCCATTCTCAGCCTTGACAATGCCGTTGAACATGCCATGGGTGGAACCATGTAGTTGAGGTCAATGAAGGGATTCTTGATGGCGACAATATCCATTTTGCTAGAGTTCAGAGCAGTCCTGGTGACCAGGCGCCCAGTGAGGCCAAATCCATTTACTCCAACCTTCGCCATCGTGTCTCAAGTATGCAGCTGAGGCTACACGAGAAGAGAGGGCGATCTGGCTCGACAAGCAGGGAGATAAGACTGTTTCTTACACAGAAGTCAGTATATCCTTCTTTATAATTATGGTGGCCAAGGTGATTCCAGCATCTACTCTTTCTGCATCAAGGAAGGGTCCCTGATTTCTTGGTGTACAAGCATGTGGCAGTGTGGGTCCAGGAGCTGAGGGGCACATCAACCCCCCATCCCAACCATGTGGCTTAGCATAGCATTTCCAGTCCTCACCTACAAATGGGAGTTGTAGTAAGGTTTTTTTACAAGCCATAAGTATTCTGGTATTTTAAAAATTGTTCTTTATGATGCTTACGCCAAAGAAAAACACACAACCCAAAACAAAACCAAAAAAACCTTAGTTCTTAGTTTTGAAAAGCTAGTTTACTTCCTAAAGCCCTGAATGGTACAGATAGCTAATATGGTTAGTTACAAACTCCTCAATGCTCCAGAGAAAGGGTCAGCCATTGGCCTGTGTCACGTGAGCCACTGAGGGCTGGAGCACAGCCTGCTCTGTCCACGTGGGGTCCCCATGCCTGGGAGTCACCTTGAGGGCAGCTGGGACATAGATTCTTTCCATTGATTTCATTTCAACTTAATTGTTGGATAATATTTGTGTAAAATCAAGATACAAGAGAATATTTACAAGAAAATGGAGAATTGCACACTGTGTCTATACCAGGGTTCTCTGACATTGCTTTTATCCATTGTTTCAGAGCAAAGATGGGAAAACCCCACTGCATATGACCGCCCTCCACGGTAGATTCTCCAGATCACAAACCATCATCCAGAGTGGTGAGAAGTATTTCTTTTCTTTGTTATTTGTCCTTACATGTAGTAAAAACATCCACAAAATGAATGGTATTGAGAAATTCGCCTAACAGTTAAAAAACATAATGTATTCTTAGTATTTTCTATTTTCATTTCTCTGTGCTTTGTGCTCTAGAATCTGAATTTTTTTTTTCTAGCTGTTCTCAGTTATGCTCTTTAAACATTGCCAGGCATCGCTGCCTTCCTGATAGGATCTGTTTTATAACTATAAACAGAACTCAGTTGTATTTACCATTTTTCTTCTGTTCAATACTTGTGTGTGGATTTTAGCCTATTTTCTGAATTTGTATTGTTTTGCATTTTAATTCATTCTAGACAAGCTTTCCTTTTGCATGAAAACATTTTTAGGTGAATTGCTTGAAACCATTGCTTACCAAGCCATGTTCTGAGGAATTGTTCGTTAGTAGTTCCTTAAAATAAAAAGAATTTGGTTTTGCAAGTGGGCTGCTCTTGCCGATTTCTGCTTCTGCCGTTTTTGAAATACTGCATGTTTTCTGCATGACAAATTCACAAGGTCTGAGGAATTCCTTGCTCTACGGAAATCTGTTCATTTGTCTAATATACTGATCCACTCCCTAAACAACATGCCTCTGGAAACTCTATGAACTTTGATAAATGTCTGTAGTTGTAGAAAGGCTCAGGCCTTTTGTTCATAGGGTCACTATGAGTCATGCTCAGCTCCAAGCAATCAACAACAACAATAAACTTATTATATCTCAGAATCCTTTTATCACTTAAAGTCTATTAAACTCTTAGGCTTAGTTCAGGAAATGACTTTAATACAAAGTTTCTGGGCATAGTGCCTTGCTTAGTAAATATATCCTGGCTAAAACCTAATGGTAATTGCTCTGTCCATTGGCTTGTGCTTGACAGTATCTTACCCTCTCTTCACGCAGTAGGTGGGACTTGACCTTGGTGGAGCCCAGGGCCAGACAGTGCCTTCTCTGTTGCAGGAGCTGTAATCGACTGTGAGGATAAGAATGGAAACACCCCTCTGCACATAGCCGCTCGGTACGGCCATGAGCTGCTCATCAACACTCTCATTACAAGTGGTGCTGACACTGCAAAGTAAGTGGTCCCTCCTGGTGTGGACAGTGTGGCTCATGCAGGCTGCAGGGGCCACTGCTAGATCGTCCAAGGGGAAATACAGGATTGATTTGGTCTCAGAATTGTACTAGTTGCTTGAACTTTTTATCATCTTCTGACATTTTAGAGGATAGACTGTTTTAAGTGCAGTATTCTTTGGCAAACTAGCATCAGGTGTTTTTGTTTTGTGTACCTTGATTGGTAGATTATGGACAATGTACACTGTTGCTCAGAGGTTAAGTCTTTGTTCTTCATCCTTTGATTTTACTGGCGATCCTACAGCAGACTCATTAGAGTTCAGGGCAGTGACAGTGACGTTCAGGGTGGCAGCGCAGCGCCCGTCTCTCCGGTCCTTCCTCTGCTCTGTTAGCTCTCGGCCCCGGAGGGTTTCTGTCTACTCTTGAGTGGCTGATGTTAATCAGTAGTTATTTAAAAGAACAGTATGCTTACAGGGACCTTTTCACTAGTTACGGTAAACTTGGTTGATTCTAAGAAAACTTCAGGATGTGTTTTTGGTGTAAGGTTTAAAAATGACCTTGGGCATTAATTTCAGGTCATCCAGCCTGAGTGGCCCGAGGAAATCTGGAATCTATAAGACTTCAAAATTCTGTTCCCTGTTCCCTCCCCCTCCCTGTCACTGGGAAGTCTCTTTATTTTTAGACTAGATATAAATAAAAGACCAGGCCAAGCTAAGCATACTGAAGGTTTTTCATCCAAACACTATCTGAAGTTAGTAGTATTCATACTGTATTCCTCAGAACTCGAGATGCTGCAAGGAAGCTCAAGTCCCACTTTACTCACACAGTTCACTTTCATCCATCTTGTATATTCAAGCTTCCACATATGATTTTGTTTAAAGATTTCTCCTGCACTCTTTCTGGAAAGATCCCCTAAAGTGACCTTAAAGCCAAGGGGTAGTTTAGTTTACCTAAGGGTTAAACCGGGTGGCTCCTTGGAGGCAAGGATTCTGGGGCTTCGTCTGACATACTTTGGACATGTTGCCAGGAGGGACGGGTCCTTGGAGAGGGACATCA